GCAGAAGGTGAAAAGCAGACATCGCAAGAATGTGATTCTCAGTCTAGTATTAAAGATTCAACTGAAGAGATGTTGTTCAATCCTAATGTCTTTACTGAATTTAAGCTTGCTGGGAGTCAAGAGGTAGCTTATTCGTCCTTCCTGTGCTGCGTCTTCCGTTGACCCAGTATTTGGCTAGAATTCCATGATGTTAACTTTCTTCCCTGCATTGTTCTTCAGGAGATAACAGCAGATGAGGAAAACGTGAGGAGAGCAAGTTTGCATGTGAAAGATTTTGTGCTACCGAAATTGATACAAGATCTTTGCAAGCTCGAAGTTTCACCTATGGATGGACAAACTTTAACTGAGGCACTCCATGCTCATGGGGTTAATGTCCGATATATTGGAAAAGTAAGATTGAGCTCCTGATTGGTTCTGGTCTGTCATCCTCTGACGTCATTTTCTTGTAAATTCAAACACTTTCTGTAGGAATTCTAGATTTGTCTCATGAGTTTCCAAGCCTGATTTTACGTTTCTCTGTTTGCTCCATCTACAGGCTGAAATTATTCATTTATTTTTTTCTATAGGTTGCTGAAGGGACCAAACATTTACCTCACTTATGGGATCTTTGTTGCAATGAGATAGTTGTCAGATCTGCAAAGCATATTCTTAAGGTGATCGATAGTGTATTAAACAGTTTCAGTATTTAGTAATACCCTTTTTGATTATCCAATAACTGGCTGACAGTGATGAACTTTGAATCATGGTTGTGCTAACTACATGGCTTCTTTGTCTCGAATTTTGTGACTGATTCTACCTTTCCTAACGCAGTGGCTTTGTATGAAGTTACTTTCAGACATGAGATGTGGGAGTTGATTTTTTTTGTTGTATTTTATTTGTTATCAGAAGTGAACTTCCTAATATACTGCAGTTTTTGGTCGGCCTTGCATATTGATGCCAACCTTTGAACAGTATTTTCAAAATCTTGTACTGTTTTTGTGCTTAGTGCTGGTTGACTATGAGCTTGCCAGTCAATCATTTGGGACTTTCAGTTTCAATCGCACTGTCCATTGCTGTATGGGTATTGGCTTGGTGCTGTCTTGAATGGAGAATTTACTAGTTGCTGCTTTAGGCGATTTACTTATTTCGTTGTTCTACTGTTTTTATTGTTTAATGAAGTTGCGAATATTATGTTCTTTTGGTGTTTGTTCTTCGTATGTTACTATGATCTCGTTGAGAGAATACATAGAAAAGGAGATTGAGATTGGAGAAAATTCTTGATGAAATCAAGTGATCTTGTTGTGAGAATGTCAATAAAGGAAAAGGAGATTCAGACGGGAGACAATTTTTGGTGAAATCAAAGCTATTGAATTCAATCCAATTGTCAATCTTTGGTCCCTAGAGGAATTTGTGGGGGAAGGGATTGGGTTGAGGTGCCGGGGGAAGGAAAGTCCAATATATGCACTCCATCCCTAGCATAAAGAAAACTATTTCTCCTCCCGTTGTTTGGAATTGTGGAGGGGAAATAGGAAGGAAATGTATTTTTAGTTTTTTCTTAATTCATTCCAGGTTTAAAAAATCTTCTACTTGATAACAAAATAAAATAAAAAATCACTTCCCCTCCTCAACCAAACAAGTCAATTTCCATTCATCCGCTCTATCCAAGGTTTTCTCATATTAGATATAGATATAGCTATTGATGCTGCTTAATTTTGCTGCTATCATTTGTGCCAGCCACCTGTATTGCCTGTTCAGGGCATCATGTATGATGGGGCATTTTCTTTTTTCAGCCAACTTATTGCTTATTCTCTTTCGTTCCAGAACTCATAATGGATAAATATTTTTCTTGAAGCCTTGCTTTTACACTTCACTGAAACTAATATTGTACTATAAGTAGCTTATAGTACCTTGGGTTGGTTGGAAGATCGTTTTATCCAACATTAACTTTTTTTATCACGCAGGACATCTTGAGGGATACAGAGGATCATGATCTTGGGAATGCAATTTCACATTTTTTCAATTGTTTGTTTGGAGATGTACAAACTGTTTCTGTTAAAGGTGTTCCAAACAATACACATTCCAAAAATTCAAAGAAGGTAAGTGATTATTGATCTAATGCTCTAAATTTTTCAGTGTTACTTAATATCTTATGTCCAATTTCTGTTCTTGCTCTAAATTTATTTGCGTCTCATGTTATGAGAGAAATTATTTGTTTTTTATGTACGTTAAAGCATAAGAGTAGTATTTCCATTTATTCAAAATTACATTAATGTCTATATGGAAGATTGGAAAGCTAGATCGAGTCTTTTACATTTTATCCTATCTTCACATACTCAAAATGCTGTTAGTTCTAGTCCAGGTAATCCCAAGACCTAATGTGTGCAGATTTTGCAGGCTCCAGGGAAGTCTTTCAAGGAACAAGCCAAGTATAAAAATGGAGAATCCACAAGAAAGAAGCAATCCTCATACTTGAGTATTACATCTGATAGTTTGTGGTCTGACATCCAGGAGCTTGCACAAATCAAATACCAGGTATCATATGCTTGAAAGAACTTATGTATACAATTTGACAGTTGTTTATTGAAAATTTTCTTCTGCAGTTTGACTTGCCAGAAGATGCAAGAATGCTGGTGAAGAAAATTTCAGTTATTAGGAACCTTTCCCAAAAGGTAACCTTTTTGTGAGGTCTTTCTAATATGCTTGAGTTGCTTAAGTAGAGACATTTGCAACAAGGATCTCTCTAAATTTGCATTTCTGCCTGCATTTTCTTTAAAAAAAAGAAAAAAAAGGAAAATTTTAGTTTTACATTCAGCACCACGTATACTTTTAACTTCTTATCTTCCTTCTGTTAATGATATGAAGTAATCAATGGCTATGGTAGAATTCTTTGTGCATATGAAGAAGCATTCTTTTAATTACCATATATATCGTTTCATTTATTTACTATTTGGTTGAATACCGCTAATTCAAATGTTAGAAGGGGTGGGAAAATGCATTCATGTTTGTTTGACTATAACATATGTCCTAACAAAGGATGTTAACGGTGGATATATTCTAAAAGTTGCATTTACTAACTTCTTTCAAAGCAATGAATCTGGAATAAGAAGAGAAAATTGACAGAAAGGAGACAGGCGAAATAGGGATTTTAAAGGAAAGAGTATAAGTAAAATGAATCCATCACTTGGGGAAGAGATGAGTATAGCTAATTATAACCAACATGTGAATAGGCAAAAATCAAAAAGATGAAATTCACGATCTAATAATCGGGGTAGGTTTTATTTCTTATTGCCAGCTGAGTTCTTTTCAATGGTAGTGCCAATCCTCTTTTGCCGTGGGATTGTTTTTACTTAGGTTACGTGTTAATTGCTTTTCCTGTTCTGTTGCATGTGGGATACAAATTAAGAATTTCTACTTTCAAAAGTTTAAGAACTATGAACACACATCTTTTTCATCATTTTCAAATTGCTGGTGTGTATGGTGGTCAATAAGCTATATCAGTATTGTAGCAGCTCCTTGGTGCCTCCCTGTCTTTTGTTTTTTAGCATTCACAGTATTAGCTTGACTAAAATTTCTTGCTCCTTTCTTTTTTATTGATTATGTTCTGTTCATTTTATCTTGCTTTGCTTTACAGTAAACTATTGACTTGTACTAATTTCAAACTTACTGTGTCATGTAGGTCCCTATAGGATAGGTGGATTTCTATTTCTCTCCATGTATGGGTGTGATGGTCTGTTATGCCAGTCATAATTTAATACATAAAAATCCATCTTAGTTTCGATTTAAAATTCCGCGATTTCTGAAATTCATGGTTTGAAGATTTATGCATGTCAAATTATTAATGGTTTTTGCCTGTAAAATGATGATTATTTTCCACTAAGCTCGTTTTCTGTGACTAGTTTTTTTCTTCAAATGATGGTTATTTGCTTATTCTGGCTGAAGCTTATTTTGTTTTTCTTCTTCTTGGAATTGTTTAAATGCATATCTGTCTCCCTTAACAGGTTGGAATCACCATTGCTGCTCGCAAGTATGCTCTTGATGCTGCAGCGCCTTTCCAGGTTTCAGATATTTTGGATCTTCAACCAGTAATAAAGCATTCAATTCCAGTTTGCTCCGAAGCTGAGGATCTCATAGAAACTGGAAAGGTTCAATTAGCTGAGGTATAGATTGTTTTGATTCATGGAGGATGAAATTGTTTTTAAAGTAATTTTTAAAATTTATGTGTCCATGGCAGAGCTGTTGTAATCAGTTTCATTATTATTTGAGGCAAAGTAATTTATTTCAGGGTAAAAATGATTCACATCTTTTACGTCCAATGATCCAAAATAAGGAAATAGATGATATGTGATTTGTCATGATAGAGTGCACGTCTAATTTTTTGAGGACAATCTTTAACTGACCCAAACTGTTTAATAGGAGTTGCTTACAATTGGAAATCTTCTAGAAAGAACGAGTTCCCTACTAATTGTGGTTAATAGCTTGGATTCAACTAGATATACTTGAAATTGTAAAATTCATTGCCCCCCCACCCCCTTTTTTTTCAGGGAATGCTTAGTGAAGCCTACACACTGTTCTCTGAGGCATTTACAATCCTCCAGCAGGTACAATTATCATTTTCTATGGTCTCTTGATTTTTTGTTGTTATGTGGGATTAATAAGTACGTTGTGACAATATTCAGGTCACTGGTCCAATGCATCGAGAGGTTGCTAACTGTTGTCGGTAATTTTTCATTTTCTTCACTTGGTTATATTATTTTCCTGATTATGTTCCAGTTTTCATTTATTTGATGTGCCTCTGATATTTAGCATGACATTTTGATGATAGTACATTTCTTTAATTTATCTTCATTGATGGATATGCAAACTCTTCGCCTTTTTTCTGATTTACTGTAATTTGGAAGATTCAATTGGACTTTAGATTTCATCAGTGGATAGGTA